GATGAAGCCAAAGAAAAGAAATGAGAAGGATTAACTGATGTACCTTCATTGTAGTTACCAGAAATTGGAGCATTGTGGTAACAATTTTGAAGCAAGCTCCATCATGTTAAAGCAAAGGTTGGCAAACTTTTTTTTTTTTTCCTGAAAGGGGCCAGATGGTGAATATTTAAGGCCTTAAGGGACATATGGTCTCTGTCTGAACCACTCAGCTCTTCCACTGTAGCATGAAAGTCAGAATAGACCATATGTAAATGGATGCTTGTGGCTGTATTCCGATCACTTTCATATATAGAAACAGGTAGTAGCTGGATTTGGCCCATCAGCCATCATTTCTCAATTCCTGATCTAGAAGAAAAGCTCTATAGAAAATCATGTATTCCATGGCAGTATGGTTTTATTCACCACGGCTCTATATTTGTGAATATCCAGGGTATTTCATATAGGATTATAGTTACTCATGTCACTTTCTCATTATTGAGCTTATTTAATGAGTTTTATTTTATCTTTATGTAAAATGATTTTATAGGGTGCTTTTCACATAAGTTACAAGTTTGGTAGAGTCCCCAAAGCTGAGGGCAAATATTGGTAAATGACAATATATCCCAGTCCTAGTCACATCTCCATGATTACACGTGGCCATGGCAGTTTTACAGCTTTCCTGAGTCTTACACCCCTTAAAGTGCAATGTAGACATTTATAAGAGAAAGAGATTTACTCTGAAATAAGTTTTATTCTTGTGGGATAATACTACCCATGTAACACACAAAGAGAAACATATATATACACGGCTTCCTTCTCTTTGGGAAAGGAGAGAAGGTGAAGAGGCCCATTCACAGAGTGTGTGGTGGCTGGCTGGAATGACAGAAGGTAGTGTCATTCTCTATAACAAAAATGTTTTATGTTATAGGAACTCAACGAATGTTTGTTCAATGAATGTCTAACTGAAAATAACATTTTCTAAAGCAATTATATGATCAAATGCTCTACGATGGGATGTAAATCTCTCAAGACATGAGATGTCATGTTTCAATTCCTCTCTAAACTCTGTTTTCTTTCCAGAAAAAAACAAAAAACAAAAAACATGAAGCTAAGAAAACAAGTTTACCTAATGAAAATAGTAGTAAGTACAGGATGCATCTACTGAAAGTGTCACACTAATAAAAGAAAACGACATGTCTCTGGAATTGTTTGCCCACCAAGATGACAAGGCAGAAAATTGAGTATTTCTGTATCTCCTGGAGTTTTGAGACTAGACTAGCATACTCTTAAAGCAGTGAGCCATTATAATTAGCTGGGTGGAAGACACCTGCTCTAGGACCAAATCACAAACCACGGGCAGTGCTGTTGTCATGCGCGTCCGTGTGAAGAGACCACCAAACAAGCTTTGTGTGAGCAATAAAACTTTTTAATCACCTGGGTGCAGGCGGGCTGAGTCTGAAAAGAGAGTCAGGGAAGGAAGATAAGGGTGGGGCCGTTTTATAGGATTTGGGTAGGTAAAGGAAAATTACAGTCAAAGGGGGGTTATTCTCTGGAGGGCAGGAGTGGGGGTCACAAGGTGCTCAGTGGGGGAGCTTTTTGAGCCAGGATGAGCCAGGAAGAGCCAGGAAAAGGAATTTCACAAGATAATATCATCGTTTAAGGCAAGGACGGGCCATTTTCACTTCTTTTGTGGTGGAATGTCATCGGTTAAGGCCAGTCAGGGCATTTGCACTTCTTTTGTGATTCAGGGCATTTGTACTTCTTTTGTGATTCTTCAGTTACTTCAGGCCATCTGGGCATATAGGTGCAAGTCACAGGGGATGCGATGGCTTGGCGTGGGCTCAGAGGCCTGACAGCTGTGAGTGTGTGTTTCCTATGGGCCAAGAAGGCCACCTCCTGGACAAATGGATCCTAGCAGAAGAAAGCTGGGTGGGATGGAGCCCTAGCAGGAGGCAACTCGGGATGAGGATTCAGGGAGAAGTCATGGAAGGGTGTGCTAACTCTGTGGTGTCTTCGTCAGTTTGGACTAAGATACCATAGACTGGAGACTCAAACAAGAGAAATTTATTTTTCACAGTTCTGGAGGCTGGAAAGTGCAAGATCAAAGTGCTGGCCAATTTGGTTTTTAGAAATGGCTCTCCTCCTGATTTGCAGATGACCACCTTCTCTCTATGTCCTCATGTATCAGAGAGCACAGAGACCAGAAGAAAACCTCTTGTGTCTTTTCTTATAAAGGCACTAATTTCCACATGAAGGTTCCATTTTCATAAGCTAATTACCTCCCAAAGGCCTCTTCTCCAAATACCATTGCATTGGGAATTAGGATTTTAACATATGAATTTGGAGGAAGGACACAAACATTACATGCTTATACATTACAGAGTGCATAATAACAGAGGATATTCAATGGCAAAGATTGGGTCCTGGCTAAATGCACAAACCTTAATGTCCCTGTTGAAAAACCTGTAAGATCACCAGAAAATCTGTTAAGACGAAATGAAGTATGTCTGAGCTCCCTGCCACAAAGAAGAAAGCTACTATAAGTCTTTTCTGTGTTTCCACAGAAAGGTGTTAGAAATGAGATTCTGGGCTGAGCTGGTTTAAGGTGGGTCTTTCAAGGCTGAGAACTGATTGGAATTAGGTATATTTATAATATAATAGTTTAGAATTGATGGACACAGCAAAGAGAGGAAGCTGACATGAGTTTCTTGATACCTAAACTGTTGCTTAATTAGGGAACTGTTTATTCAGGTCTTCAGGCTATTGGCTCCAACAGATTAGTCTATAGGAATTTCTTGAAGCATGCAGGGAAATGAGCTATTGTCTGATGTTATCTCTTCCCAGTAAAAGTTTCCAGAGGCAAACAACACAGTCCTTGTTGACACAGGTGGTCTAAAGCATCATGTTGAGGAAGATGGCCCTGGTTGTCATTTTCTTTCCTCCCATTGTATCTTTTTGAATCAAACAGAAGCAAGGAGCAGTACATTGATGGAAGGCAAGGTGGAGTATAGAAATTAAAAAAAAAAAGTAGTCTTCTTTAAACCGCTGGTGGCCTCTGGAAACACATGACAGGCCTAGACTGAGGGGAAAGGGAGAAGCTTTGATTGTGGCTGTAAGACTGGTTTTGTAATTATGCAACTTTGAATTACTAACATGAAATGAAAATTTTTCTTAATATCTTAATGTGATAATAGATCTACCTATTGTGTTGTTCGACGATTCAGGGAAGATAGAGCTCTAAATTCAGTGCTGTTAAAAAAAAAAGAAATTGTCCTGAGTCCTGTCTGCTTAATGCATCAGTTACAATCAAAGATGACCATCTAATAATTCTCGATTTTCTCTTATTCAGTAGTAGGGTTAGATTTTCATTCAGTGGGTCCTGTACAGGGTCTGACATAATAATTGACATTTTGATCAAAGTAAGAAAAACATGAAAAATTCCAAGTTATCATTTATTATTTTACCACTGTTTATCAGTGCTGAGCTTACTTAGGATCAGAATAAATATCATGAAGATGGAAGCTATGCAAATGTACCTCTTAAATCTCCTGCTTCAGGGAGCATTACTGATTGATTGACAGCTACAGCAGCTGGTATGTGAATCTACCGTCACTTTTGTGCCAAGGTTGTGCTGTCATCCGTTCTTGTTAGTAAGTACTCTTGGCAAGGATGCTAAGGCAGGTCCCCTTTTGGTGATATGTAAGGCTCCTTTGATGGGTGACTTGCCAAAACTTTCTTAGAATTGCCCTGAAGGAGTTTCTTAAAGAAGTTTCTTCTAGGCCAAACTTACTTCCCTCTGTCGTTCACTGAGGCTAGACATACACCATAGTAGTATGGCTCTCCAAGACCTCTCCAACTACCTCCCCATTATCCATCACTGGCATTTTCACCAATAAATCCTTTTTATGTTTAATCCTATTTGGCAGCTGCTTTTCAAGAGACTGCAATGGACACAACAGATCAGTAAGATTTATTCTTCAAAAATTGAATGTAACTTACTCTATTCTCAATAATGGGTTTATATTATTTTATCCGAGTGTTTTTGAAGTTCTTCTTCGTTGTGTTCCTACTGAATCTTGTCTTCATCCCCATTATTCCATTCACCATAAAAGTTATAATTGTAGTTGTGTGAACTTCTGGAAGCAGAGAATTTGTGTCTTTGTTTGGTATAATGCTTGGTATTTAATAGGACCTCAATAAATACTTTTTTTCAATGAAAGACTAAAACAAAATTTTCTGAAGCAAATATATAAAAAATGAACTTATGAGGGGACTTAAATCTCTTAAAACAAGAGATAGGTTATATATTTAAATTTTCTTTACACTTTGCTTTCTATTCAACAAACTGTCAATAAAACATATGAAACAAACAAAAAGTGTACCTAATGAAGACAGTTGAAGATATGGGATGAATTCACTAAATGTATCATTTTTATTTTTTTTGAGACAGAGTCCCGCTCTGTCACCCAGGCTAGAGTATAGTGGCATGATCTCAGCTGACTACAACCTCCATCTCTCAGGTTCAAGTGATTCTCCTGCCTCAGCCTCCCGAGGAGCTGGGATTACAGGTGCACATCATACCTTGCTAATTTTTGTATTTTTAGTAGAGATGGGTTTCCCCCATGTTGGCCAGGATGGCCTCGAACTCTTGACCTTAACTGATCCACCAGCCTCAGTCTCCCAAAGTGCTGGGATTACAGGTATGAGTCATCACGCCCAGCCTAAGTATATTATATTAATAAAATAAAATGGAATACTAGAATTCATGCTAAAGAAATAAGGTTATTTAAAATATTATAACTATTTGAAATACATTTCAGTGGAAGAATTCTGGGAAAATAATGAGAGAAGAATTTTAGAAAGATGATAACAGAAATAATCCTGAGCATTGGCACAAAAATTGAAATTCAAGATATATCTCCTGTCAGATTTAGGAAAGGTCCTAGGTCAAGATTAATTTGTCCTTGTTCAACCATATACTTCCAAGAGGGGTAGGATGCTGAGTCCTACTGATATAGATGGTCAACAATCACAGATATTGGACAGGCTGAGTGTTACAGTTCCACAGAGTACAGAAATAATCATGAGAGAATGGAGAATATTCAGTAAGTTGATTAAAAAAGGCGAGACCCAAAGGCTGGTTAGTAACAAGTTTCCTGGAAATTCCTGGATGAAAAGATAGTTAGGTGGTAGAAGCTGGACCCACAGTCCAGAGATGGGAAGCCAATGCTTCCATAACCAAGAGATCCAAGGCCAGTGTTTCCACATCCAAGGGATCCTACGTAGTTAGTCTGGTGCGGACTGCGGAAGATGGAATTCTTTGGGTGGTAGCAGGATGTCTGACAGGATTTGGCCAAAGTGCAGGATATCTGAAAGCTGGTGGGCTCACAGTAGGTCTCCTGACAGGCGTTGTAGAGAGAGGAGCCCAGTTGGCAGGTATTTGGAGAATAGATGGCATTGCTGGGGTAGAACGAATTATAAATGGAAACTGGATACCCTAGGTAACCTTCAAAACAGCAGGAGGAGAAGTTTCCAGAGCTGTAGTTGTAAGACATGTTAACAGGAGTTCTGAGTTCAGTTGAGTTGCAGTGAGGAGTGTGTGTGTGTGAATATTACCTTCTGTACTGCACACTTACATACTCTAGCAATAGATGTAGTCACAAGTGCCCATTTTAATGAGAACACTTAATTAGGCTCCAGTCAAAATGAAATATACTAACATTCAAATAATTTTTTTTTATGAATGCAGACGTCTACATGAAAGAATTTCATTAGTTTTTCAAAGCAGTTGTTCATGAAACAAAAATGCCATTTCTCATTCGTCTTGCTTGGGTAGAATGAAAACCACCATAATTGTACCTATAAGACTGATGCTTCAGAGGGTTGGGTGCGGAGGCTTACACCTGTAATCTCAGCACTTCGGGAGGCTGAGGCAGGCAGATCATGAGGTCAGGAGTTCGAGACCAGCCTGACCAACATGGTGAAACGCTGTCTCTACTAAAAATACAAAAATTAGCCGGACATGGTGGCGGGTGGCTGTAATCCCAGCTACTCAAGAGGCTGAGGCAGGAGAATTGCTTGAACCCGGGAGGTGGAGGTTGCAGTGAGCCAAGATCGTACCACTGTACTCAAGCCTGGGTGGCAGAGCAAGATTCCGTCCCCCCTCAAAAAAAAAAAAAAAAAAAGATCGATGCTTCATTCATCCTGTCCTTCTAGAACTTGGATCAAATGGCTAACACACTGAGAGTTCTGGTATTTGTAAAGATCTAAAAAATACCTTGTAATCTGGAAGGGACATTTATCTTGCTCCAATTTTATAAATTCAATGGAGAACAGAAAAAAAATTCAATATCTATTCCTTCTTTCAAATCTTTGAACCATTAGAAGAAATAGCCCAATAACAATCCTTATTTGGTAGACATGCTACATGAGTGCCTAACATATTTGAGTTTAGATTTCTTATAACACAAGTAACCAAGTCACCCTTGTGCACGTGAGGATTTAAGAATGGTCAAATTTTTGCAGAAGTGCTTTGAAGTTTACATTGTAAAACTACTAAAGAAATCCCTTACTCAGAGGTTGATTTGCTTCTTCATAGAAATCATCATTAAGTTTGATTATAAAAAACCATTTATCCCCATAAGGTGTAAGTAATTTTTTGGTGGTGTTGATGTTACTGAGAGCAAAATAATAAGCACTATATTTAAAATGTAAATCTTTAATCTTTTCCTTTCTTTTCTCTCAGAGGGTGACATTTTTACTACAGAGGGAAAAGAAAAGCAAGAAATGAGGAAAATGTCTATCCCACGTAGTCTTCACAGAAAGATAAAATATTTGAAGAATTCATAGTAACAAATGACTTTATAAATTGAAATAAAGGGGTGGGAAGGATGTATGGTGATAATGCGTAATTGAGAGTGAATGCCTTTGTGACCTTTGATGTATCAACTGATATATATATTCTGCCTACAGTACTAGAGTAATGAGGATTTTTCTGGAATCACTCAGAAAGTTCATCAGAGCAAACTGTAAATAGAGATAGGCCACGGATACATGAAATGGCTTAACCTGTGGGAATGGGCAAACCTCTTAAGACATCCATCTTCAGAACTGATGTATTCTACAGTGGAAGTGAACTGAGACTCCCTTCTATGAAGAATTAGGATTACTAGGTCAAAGTTTTAAGGGAAGATTCAGCTAAAAACCTAAAATGAGTTGCTGTTGTAATTAATGATATTTCCATATTGAGGGCCCTGGGAAAATCTAATTAGGATGTTGTAAGTGGAATTTCAATCTGACAGGAGGCTGGAGATAATTGCTCAACTTCCTTCCAAATTGTAGACTTTATGAGTCTAAACTGCTGAGGAGACAAATTGATCTCCAATCATGTTTCATTTATTAGGTAACATAGTTTGTTCTGTGTTTCTGTAATAAATAGTTCTTATTAGGCTTCTCAATTATGAATAGCAAAAAGCATTCTAGTAGATTCCAAATCTTCCTGTTGTATTTGTCAATAAAATATTGAATATCAAAATAGCCACACGAATATTTAGCTCACCTAAATTGAAGTTGCTTGCTTGTTTTAGTGTCATCCACTCCTGTGTAAGCAATTTCAGTAGAAGAATATTCTGTGGGATCGGATATTAAGTAACGTCGCACGTTCTTTTCTCAAAGTATGGATGTTTTTGCATTCAACTACTTTCGTTCAGAAGTGGAATGGAAACGTTTTTCTAAAAATGAGCAAATCAAACAACACAGAAACCACAGCAAGATAAATTTCAATCTCTCCTCTTCCTCAACATATCAGTCTTCATTATACCATTACATCGAGGTGAAATACAAGTCACAGAACAAGAGAAAATATGACCATTATTTTAGAAGTGTTGTAACACTTGTCAGAAACACCTGAAAATAATGTATGTCAAAGTCATGTATGTTACTTTTGAGGCAAGGGAAGAATCTTCTTAAGATGCTCCCTTTGTCTCACCACTTTAAGGGAGCTACTTTGTAAACTTTCTTTAAAACAGGAATGTTTTCCAGATTCTGGGCAATTCTTTTAGTGGGAAACACTGACTCTGATCAGAGGTAGAAATACACTAGGAATTTTTGCCACATATTTGTTTTTATTTTTAATGCTTTTTCAGCATCTTAGATGAATAATCTCGACCATTCCAAAATACATGAAGCGGTTTATTATTTTTAATTCACTCAACGGTAAACACACACCCAAGGAAAGAAAAGCTAAGACTGGCTCCTAATAGTCTGCATACAGTTTTGAACAGGACCACGCAAAATAAGGGAATCTCAGTTAATATTTCATTAAAGGCGTTCCAGTTGAGGTTTGATTTTTAAAAAGACATTATATCTTGCATATCAGTCGCCGCTTTCTGATGACATTCTTCATTAAGTTAGCTTGCTCCTTTGGGGTGACAATGAATGTATGTTTTTGTTTAAAAGAAATGACTATGAATAGATTGGTTAGCTGGCAACTTTGTACACCAGATGGCAACAATTTTGAGACAGATTGTGAAACGGGTATCAATTATTTTTAATTAAGGCAGCTTCCCTTAACCCAGACACTGTCTACCTCTAAAGCAATTCTCTGAGTTATCTGCAGAGTGACCTTTGGTAAGGGAAGATGAGTAATAGCTTTAAAGAGTCAACACTATTATCTGAATCCCAAGGCACAAACATCACTGCACTTTCTAGTTGTAAAATCACAAGTAATATATATGTCTGACTATGACGATCTTTTTAATTCATTTATAGTTGGCAGGTAACCTGTTTTTATATGCCATGTGGATGACACCCAATGTTAAGGGTATATAAGTCCCCAGGTCCAAGAAGTGACATTCAAAGTCATAACATTGTCATTATAAGTCAACTCTCCCGCCGACATATCCTACAACTGCTACTCTGGAAACTTCTCCTCCCACCTTGTGGGGGCTACCTGCGCTACCCAGGCTTCTCTTGTGGCTCTTCCTACCCTAGCAACCTGCTCTACAGCACCTGACCTCTGGTCTCCCAGCACCTGACAGCTGGGCTCTTCTCTCTATAGGGGCTATCAGGAGACCTGCTGGGAACTCCCTGGGTTCCAGACATACTGTGTAGTGTCCAGCATCTGCCAGACCTCCTGCTACCGCCCTAGAGCCTCCATGCTCTGCAGTCCCTGCCAGATGACTTACTCTGGATCTCTGGGCTTTGGATGCAGAGGCTTTCAGTCTTTTGGCTGTGGCTCTCCATCCCTGGGCTTTGTATCCAGTGTATTCTAATCCATGGGTTGTTGTCCCAGTGCTTTCACATCCCTAAATTATACACCCAACCCTAAATTATAGACCCAACCTTCTACTCTTCTACTGCCAGTCTGCTTCTTACCATCCAGCCTGTGAATATGACTTTTAGTAATTATGTTTGAGGAGCCAGAAACTTAAACACAATACCTGTGTCCGTATCCATATATGCATACCGTCTATTGCTCTCCTATCCTATCATTTGCCTATGAATTTGATGTCTACTGCTACCCATGATAGATTACGAATAATCTAAATTCCAGTAACTAGAAAATATTCACTGGAGAAAGATGTTAAAACTGCTTATTTATAATTATATAGATGTGCCACATCAAAGCACCCTTCTCCTACTGTGTCTCCTAGTTATTTCCCCTAGAGTAGTTGCTTTAAATTTTACAAAGTGAAGGATGTAAGTTTAAATAAAACTGGGTAACATTACATCGGCATATCTGCTTTAATATTCTTTGCTTACTTTTTGTCTTAAAAACTACTAAATATCCAGCTGGCTTTTTCTGTGTCTTCTACTACAGACACTTGCACACGAATGTTCATTGTAGCATGATTCACAATAGCGAGGACATGGAATCAAGCTAAATGGCCATCAATGACAGATTGAATAAAGAAAATGTGGTACGTATATACCATGAACTACTACGTAGCTATAATAAAGAATGAGATCATATCTTTTGTGAGGACAGGGATAGAGCTAGAGGTTATAATGCTTGGCAAACTAACATAGACACAGAAAACCAAATATTGCGTGTTCTCACTTATAAGAGGGAGATAAATAATGAGAACACATGGACACAAAGAAGGAAACAACAGACACTGGGGTCTACTTGAGGGAGGAGGGTGGGAAGAAGAAGAGAAACAGAAAAGGTAACTACTGGGTACTGGGCTTAATACCTGGGTGATGAAATAATCTGTATAACAAATCCCTGTGACACGAATTTACCTATGTAACAAACCTTCACATGTACCTTTAAACCTAAAATAAAAGTTTAATTTATTTTTAATTTTAAAGAGTAAAACTGTCCATATTCTTTTTTAATTTAGAATACTTTTCATCTTTCATGTTTATTCCAGCTATTAATGTCTTCACATGATAAAATGAAGAGGACACATTTTTAAGACTACAAACAAACTAACCACCGTGGTCTTCTTTTTCTGCAGGGAGTTAGAAATGTCAATATTTTTATATAAATAATGACATTTGCAATGACTGTCAAATTGATTATATCACATAATTTTGGAAGAAAGAATACTTTTATAAAATATTTTCTGAAATATATGAGAATTCACAGTGAG